CATGTGAATATGACTGAAAATTTTCATTTTTTCTGAAAAGGTGGTGTCTATTTACTTGTGACCACGCTGTGTAGATAATTTTGATGACTGAAATTTCTTTAAAACACAAGGTTATCGGTTATTTAATAGGTACATAGTACTAAAGAGAGGGGGAGGAGTGGCTTTCTATGTTAAATTTGAGTTACATACTGTTGAAGTTGAGAATATCAAAGATAATAGCAAGGAGATTGAATCCATTTGGGTTTCTTTTAGCGGATATAATAGAAAAAGGCTTTTCGTGAGAATTTGTTACAGACTACCGATGATACTGATGAAATTAGTAAGAAACTTTACGGTGAGATTAAAATTTCAGCTGTTAATAAGGTCATAATTATGGATGATTATAATTTCAGACATATAGATTGGGAAATGCTAGAGTCAAACCACTAGGGAGTGTCAGGAAAATAAAGTGGCTTATTCTTCTTAATATTATATATGATAGTAGTATTTAGTAACTAGGTTGAATAATATGGGTGTTGTTGCTGGGCTAAGGATTCTTCTACAGTAGGTGTCTGTGACTTGTTGGCAATAAATTCAAAAATAAACGAACAGCATGCACTCCACTTATTTTCAATATATATATATATATATTTGAATTAGTTAAACGTATGTACAACAAATTATTTACACTATAGAGATTATAGGTATATCATAAACTATATATAGTTCTCTTCTTCTTGTCAAATATCCACTTAGGCCTATTCGATTGCTTTAGAATTTCAGTTGACAAGCTGAACTACCTTTCTCTATTTCTATCGCACTTGTATTCCGTGTATAATTCACTTACAAGTATACTGCTCTTCCAGTAATCGTCTGTTCCTTTTGTCAAAATGCACTCAGGCTTGTTCAATTACTTTAGAACTCGCTTTGACGGAATAAACTATACTTCTTATCTCTTTTAAAACTGTTAGTTTCCTATAACATATTAACCATTAGACCTTTCACTCCTACGGCAGTTACATTACCTTTAACTTTCCTTGGCCGAACTTCTACTTCCCGTGACTTTACTTTCTCGTCTGCTCTGTCTGTCTGCTGTTCCCGCTCGTCTCACACTATTTATATATTTATTACTTAGTCGTCTGCTCACTATATCTTCGGTATCAATAAATTTCACGCGACCTTCTATAATCTCGACATCAATGAGTTATAAACACAACGCACCACTTTTACCAATTTATGTAACTAAACTTGTAATAACATTTACTTTAAAATAATTGCTTCTAACTCTTGTTATGAACAAAACTAAACAATCATAAAATATTCACTCACAAAATAAATAAATTAATAATATCTACACCAAACAGTCTTTTATATCATGACAGGGAGAAAGGTTTTGGAAACTGTTCAAGATTGTTTTTTTTTCACCAATTGGTCAAGGAACGTACCAGAAACAATGCTTTTGTAGATTTATTGTTAACTTCTAATATAGAGATGGTTGAGAAGGTAGAAACTGGGGAACAAATGGATCAACTAATCATTGCTCTATTAAATTCGATGTTTTGCTGCATATGGAGATAAGGAACAATATTTTGGTTACAAATGTCAATAAACCAAATTTTGAAGGGATGCAACAAGAATTACCTGTTGTTAATTGGGCAGCTGAGTTATTTGAAGGCACTTATAACATGTGGAAAATTTGTAAAGATAAATTTTTAAATATTCAAGATAAATATTCCTTATAGAAAGAAAAGTGTGGCTGGAAGAAAAAAAACAGGTTGTATCGCAAAGGGTATAAGACATAAAATTTTAAAAAAGCATCACAAATTTAAGAAATTTAAATTAACTGGTATGACAGGAGATTTAGAAGATTATAGAAGACCAAGAAAGTTGGTCAAACAGGAAATTAGAACATCAAAAAAGATATGAAAAAAGTTGGCCGAAAATCTAAAAATAACAGTGAGGATTTCTTTAAATACATTAAGGATAAACAAAATGTTAGGAGTGGGGTAGGACCCTTGAGGGATGATAAAGGAAGGCTTGTATCTGATGATTATGAGATGGCCAGGTTATTAAATTCTACTTTTTATTCAGTTTTTACTAATGAAGCTTTCAGCACTATTACTCATTTTGATCAGTTGATAGATGGAAACAAGATCAAACAAAATTATTGCATTAATTTGAGCTTGTTAAGAAAAATTGGGAAACATAAAAACGATAAAGATCATGGGCCAGATAATATTTCCTTAAGGGTTTTGAAAGAGGTTAAGGATTGGAATGTGTGAGCCACTTGCTACTACTTTTTGTATGTCCTTGAATAGTGGGCAAGTACCAGAGGATTGGAAG